CTCAGGCGATGAAGTGCCTCCTCCTCCCGACGCTCCCACTCCACCTTTCGAACCGTCTCACGAATGGTAGAACAAAAGCCTCCCTCGGTGCTGCGTGTCACCGATGTTGTATCGTCTGCTGCATCGGGCGATGCTGCCGCAGCCCGAGCGGCAAGTAGTTTGTTTCGCTGAAGGCCAAGCTGAATCTTCTTCATTACGGCGCCCGGCACCTGCGTCTCACTCATATCAATGTGAACCACATTTTTGTTCTGCTGCAACAAAGAAATAAGCGCGAGGCCAGCGGCAAGAGAGATGTTGTTACATGAGAAGTCCAAACTTGTAAGGCGTGGGTGCTTCACCATCGCCCGGCAAAAAAAGACGACGGCGTCGTTGTTGAGTCCACTGCCCGGTAAGCGCAGCTCCTGAAGATTGTCATTTTTCGCGAGAAGGCTCGTCATAGCCTGAAGACCCGCGGCACCAACGTAATTCCGCGTGAGGTCAACGACAGGGCTGTGACGAATGATGTCCACATTTTTTGCCAGCATGGTGTTCACCTTTGCCTTGAGAGTGGTGTAGTTGGCGACGAGCTCGTTGTACGCCGCCTGATCCGTCACACCGGGCGCCCGTCCTTCCGCGGACTGCGGCCTGAAGTCCAGATGCGGCAACACCGGACTCCGCGCGCTGGCCATGGATCTTCGCCGCTGTAGCTGGGGATATTTTGCTGCGTCGACAGGAAAAAAAAAAAAAGGAGAGAAACAGGGAGGTGAAAAAGAGTCAGAAAAACAAAAAATAACCTCACCACCACCACCACCAAAAAAAAAAAGGGCCAGAGGCTGTTCTTAAATAAGAGCCTTCTAAAAAAAAAAAAAACGTACAGAGTCGACCATTTGACCGCTGATGATTCCTTTCCCTTTTTGCGTGTTTTGTTTTTCCGCACTCCCTCCCCCGTTATTTCTCGGTGACCAAAAATTCCTCATCCGTCATGACCGGCGATGCCGGTCTGCTGCTTGGCGGGGTGTCGTCTCTGTGCCCCCCGCCTCCGTCTGTGTGCTCGTCCCCCACCTCCACCTCCTCCTCTTTGTCGTCTTCCTCGACGGCGCCATCGTCGCCGTCATCGTTGCTGTCGATCTCCTCCTCGTCCTCGTCGTTGAGCATGGCAGCAAAGACGCCATTTGGGCATCCCGTCCTGCCGATCATCCGCGCAACCCACGACTTCTCCGGCGCAATGAGACCGACAAAGTTCGAAAAGTCGGCGGTAGTGACATCGTGCAGCTCATCGCGGCTAACAGGCCCCGTGCCACACACGGAACACCCGTCACGAATAAACTGCGTCTCCGTCAAAATGAGGCGGCACTGACGACACGCAAGATAGCCACGGTCGCCGATGGGCAGCTGGGGCGGCGGCTCCTCAACCATGTCACTTCCTCCCTCTCGAGATAGAGACAACAACAAGAATAAAGAAGAAGCAGCACGCAAAACCGGAAATCCGGCAAAACCAAAATCAAATTGATTTGAAAACAATACAAACCAAAAAAAAGTGTTAAAAACAACATTTCTTGTAGGCAGCATATAAGCACCCAAATGACAAAATGTACACGCGTACATATGTAAACACAAATATAAATAAGATTCTTGGAAAAGCACCTGATGGAGGGTCCACCTACTTTCAGGAGCCAACACAGGCCAGCAACGGTTCAAAGGTGTTGATGTCTTTCAAAGCGACCGCAGCGACGTACGGAGACCCAAGGGCATCCATTGTCAAGACAAAACTCACATTACATGCTCCAATCAACGGGTGACGCTTGGAAAAGCTATTTCCCTCTTGTTCAATGCCATCCGTGCATGCATGCCTATCATCCTTCTCCTCCTCGTCTCGCAGGACAAGACAAGGACAGAACATCAGCTCATTCGTTACAATCAGTGAAAGGCCCTCGAGGCGCCGAAGAAGGTCAGAAAGGGTCATTGCCTCTTCCACGTCCATCTCACTATTTGTTGGCCCTCTGCCACCATTTCGCATGCCGCGCAGCTTACGACGAACCCGTGCCGGTAAAAAATACTTCATTGGTATCTCCAATACAGAGCTATCGGGTCGCCGTCGTCCGTCAGACGTGGGCACAATCAGCCCACCCACAGCGGCCACCACCTCACCGCTTTGGTACGACTTGCCAGCAAAAACCCGACGAACAACGCCCTTCAATAATGACTGAGACGCGGAATGAACAGCAGCATCCTCGCTATTGTCCTCAGTGGCGTCATACTGATTCTCGCCGCACAAAGAAGAGCTACTAATGTAGAAGAGGTAATCCGTGGCGTTACTGTTCTCCGCAGTTTTCGTTTCGCCTAAACATTTCCTCGTTGGATTCAATGCTGTTATCGCCTCAGCGTGATCCTGCACACTGCTTGGTAGTAGTTCCTCTTTTTGCCACAACTCTTCTTTTTTTCGCCGCACTCGTGGCCTTCGTCCTCTCTGATGCAGTTGAGTTCGTTGTTGGTGTAGTTCTCTTGCCTCGCCCTCCTCTCTGCCCCGCTTACCCTCACTACCCATTGGCCGATGATCTTCCTCACTTGCGGTATTGACGGCATACAAAAAGATGCTTACATGTGTCTCAAATCTGGAGTGCTTTCTAATGGCCGAGAGCGGAACCGCGGAATCCCACACCTGCCAGGGGAGAAACGGGACGTTGAGGGGCCAACTCACGGCTTCCGAGCCAAATGGGAACGTTAATATTTCTTTTGTGGGGCTTCCACTCGCATCACCACTGCCGCTGCCCTTCTGGTCGCTTTTGACACAAATTCCCTCTGATGACGAGGCAATGTACGTTCCCAACGCGCTGGCTCCATCCTCGATTGCCGTTGAAAAGGGCAAATCCGGCGGCTGCTCGCCCAGCGGGGAAGACGGCACGGACGCCACACCTCGAATCACCGACGCCAACACATCCTCACGTGACAATGAAGGGGAGCAACAAACTGCCACCATGCGAGCCCGCTGAAGTCGAGGTGAACGGCATAAGAAGCAGTGATTAATACTCACAGGTGTGGGGCTTCCAATGCTCCACATTCCACACTGTGGACACTCCCACAGTAGCACCATCTCTGTATTCTCATTTTCGGCAGGTGAATGGGCGCCCGAGACATCAACTGATTTCTGTAGCCATTTATGATAAATCCGTGCGGTATCATCATGACTCCCAAGTGAGGCAAGAGAGTTTAAATTCCCTCGCACTGGGGCCCATTCTAGATGAGGAATCAAACCGTTTCTCCTTTTGCTCATAAGTTGCGGAAAGGGGACGATGCCACCAGCCCGCTGGCGCGTAAGAAGTTCTCCTTTTAATCCCACCCACGGACTAGGCGTAAGACTATGCGCTTTACCGTATGACATCAGAATCTCCTCGCCCTTGTTAATAATTCGCCTGGAAACCAATGCCGTGTACGCCTCTCCCCGCGGCGTGAACCGACTCTCCGCGGTGAGATTCGCCACAAGCCCCTCAACCCCTCGAGGGTCATTTGCAAAACGGCCGTAATTGCCAACAAACTCGGCGTCCAAAGCATATTCATCTCCAAAGGAACCAAAGCCCATCGTGTAGGTTCTGGAGCTGCAGGAGGTACTGAAAATTTCGATATATCCGCTATAGGGTGTCACGACTGTGTTGGCAGGGATTGTATTCTTGGCAAAAAGACCGATCTGTCCGTATGCAGGATGACGCGGGTCTGTCAAAACGCGAAGCTCAACGTATTCTTCAGGTAAATACCTTGAAGGTCTGAAGTGTGGAATGGCCTCAGTATCAATAAAATGTTGTATAAAGGCAAACAGCTCCATATAAAGAATCATACGGTCGTGCTTGCTGATGGAAGGATCAAAGAGGATAAAATGCTGGGCGTGGGCACCTGCATGAAATTTAAGTGAACGGCGTGTTGGCGCACAGCGAAGAGAATGTGACGTCTCCATTGCATACGGAGGAGCCCTGCGTGTAAATGAGGAGGCCAAACACGCAAAATTCTATGTAGACTCGCTTCTTTGCTAGACCGCTTATATATTGCTTCTTCCCTTCCCTTCTCCCTTACTCTTAATGTGAGATGCGTACGTGGTATCTGTACCCCGTTCCCCCTTGACTCCTTTATCTCCCACCCACCCCATCACCCAATGCACCAAATTACACGTGTGAATGAAGAGCCGCCACACACAGAGGCAGAGAGAGAGAGAGAGAGAGAAAAAATTTTTTAAAGGGAAAGAAAGAAATAAGTCCAAAGAAAAACCGTCAAAAAATAAATAAATAAATCCCAACTTCACAGGCAATACCTTTGCATTGCGCAGTCACCGTTTTGTAATGAAATGGAAAAGATATTGTACCGTACAAAACTTAACCGAGAAATCCAGCCGGCTAGCCCACAACAGCGGCCTTGAACTTACTGTGTATCCGCGTCCCAACAAAGAACGACAAAAAAACAACACTTTTTTTTCCCAAAGGTTTTCTTCAGAAGCAACAATCGCAGTCAAAAGGGCAATTGGCGGTCGTGCCTGCTTTGGGGTTCGACGACGTGATACCTCGCAGCTCCTCCAGAGTGACAATGCGATCCACACCCTCACGTCGTAGCACCTCCTCTGGAAATTTGGTGGCAGTGGATGCGTTGGCCTTCTTCTTCTTCTGTTGTCGCTGCGAGGCCACATCAAAGAATGCCGGATCACTCAACTCCAGCGTCTTCTCCGGTGCGTGATACAAGCCGTCGCTGACACACTGGGAGGCAGTTTTAACATCTTTGCGCCGCTGAATAGAGTCGCCACCACTTCGGCTGCGGCAACCGTCTCGATGCAGCTTCTCCCGCATGGCAGCAAAGATGTCCGCAATTTCAGACTCGCCCTTGGGCTCCACAACAACTCTTCCGCCCCTGCACCCAGCAGTTGCAGATGCCACACCTACAACAGTGGCGGCCTTGGAGTTGGTACCGTCAAACTGTTGCTTCTTTGCCCTCCTCATCATCACCAGAAGCCTATCAAGGAAAATATTGCAGGCAACATGTATATATTTATATTCGTATATATGCGCAAAAAAAAAAAAGAAATGCGGTGGCCCGCATAGTAAAAGCAAATGCATGCACGAAAGCAAAACGACCTTCACAATTACGTCGCCACAGTACGGGCAGGTCAAGTCACGTAATATATATATATACCAATACAACAGAAAAAAAACGTTAAAGCATACTTTTGTGCCCCTCGTTTCAACCACCAACACCTTTCTCTCCTTTAGACGAGACCCCCCTACTTTGCTTCCCCTCTCCCCTCGCTCCAGTTACCTCACTCACCACCAACAACAACCCCGCACCCTTTTCCCCGCTTTCAGTCCTGAATTTTACTTCCACAACCATTATAAATGTCTTCGTTTTCGAATTGTTGACAAAATATAAACAAAATAATAATAATAATAATAACTATCATATATATAAATAAATATAAATATACCTTGTGCATCAAATGCCCTCAGTGGGTGAATACTTCAGGCTCCCGCGAGAACGGGGCACCAGCCATTGTCTTTTCAACCTCCTCGACGGTGCGGGGGACGAGTGTCATGTTGATTGCACCCGTCTCCGTGATGAGAACGTCGCTTTCAATGCGCACTCCGCCAAAGTTCCACAAAGAGCGCAGCTTGGCCTCATTGAGGTGGGGCTTGAACTCCGGGTTCTGGAAGGCATCGGTGAGAAGAGTGCGGTTAATGTAGCAGCCGGGCTCCACCGTTAGGCAAAATCCCTTTTCCAGCACACGGGCCATACGTAACTTGCAGCAGTCACTCTCTTCAGGCCGCGGGGGGCATCCCTCCAAGTAACCACCGACGTCGTGCACATCCATGCCCATGAGGTGGCCAAGGCCATGTGGTTGAAAAAGACCCATAACACGTTTTCTCATAATGGTATCCACATCCCCCAAAAGAATACCGGCCCGCACAAGGTGTTCGCACATCACACGCAGAGCCAGTTTGTGCATGTCGACCCAGTTCACGCCTGGTTTCAACTGCCTCATTACGGAGTCATGGGCGTCCAGCACAGCATTGTAGATTATTCGTTGATCTTCAGTAAACTTACCATTAACGGGAAAGGAGCATGTAATATCGCTTGCATAGCCCATGTAATGACCACCCATATCAAGAAGTGCCATTGACCCGTCCTCAACGGGGGCATCATTGTTCGGATAGTGCAGAACAGCCCCATGGTGACCGGTGCCACAGATGCAGGTGTATGCCACTTTGCGACAGCCACCGTGGTAGTATACATAGTGCAAAAAGGTGGATTCAAGGTGATGTTGCGACATACCAGGTTTGCAGTGTTGCATTACATGAATATGTGCCTCGCTGGAGACCCTGCACACATACTGCAAAAGCTCTGCCTCGAGATCTGTCTTGTGGCAACGCTGTTGGGTAAGTACGCCAAATAGCCATTTGTTAGAGATCTTCACCTTGGATCCTTCTGGCAGCTTTGCCGTGAGAACGTGAAGACCGCTGTCCGAGTTTACACCATCCAGGACTTCAACGGTTTGTACACCTTTTGAGGTGAGCGCAGCTTCAATCTCGTCGGTGTAATACACTTCTTCCAATCCTGTGGCAAGCTTCACGCTCTCTGGTGTGGGCAACTCACCCATCCAGACGGCGTAGGAAACGGGGTAGCGAGGGATGAAAAGAAGGCCCTTGCCATCGGCGAGAACAGCACCAAAACTGTCAGGAATATCGCAGCCAAACAGGTACGCAAAGTAACTCTCCTGCCAAAAGAGGTAGTTGATATCCGACGAGTTCACCGGAACCTCCGATCCACCCTGAAGAAATGCTGCATGCGTCGCATCTTTGCTTGAAAGCAACGCGGCTGCAAGACGCTGTCGCTGCTCGCGATACATCTCGCGTTTCACCTTAAAGGGATACGCGGTGCATGCGTTGTCTTTATGGCCATTCTGTTTGTTATTTGAGGCCATCGTCGTCTTCGTTGGCGTGTTTTGCTCCACAACGTAACACTCCTCTGAGTGCATGCGGGGAGGGAAAAAAGGAAGAAACAGCAAGAAATAGAGAGAGAAAAAGAAAAGACGCCTGACGAACTCAAATTGGCCACCGCCACCACCCCCACCCCCAAAAAAAAAGGCAGCGCCGCGGTGTAACGACGATCGAGAAGCCAAACGCAGCCCATCAGCCAAAGCAACAGCACGCAAAGACGCCCGCAATACAGAAAAACAAACACACACACCCGCGCCTCCCCTTCAACGCCCCCCTACACCCCCACAGACACATCCTCCCTCTCCCTCTCTCTCTCTCTGTTTTTCCTTTCGTGTTTCCTTCTCTCCTGTCGTCATGTTCCGGGGATCACCCATCGCCAGTCAAACGCCTGCAGACGGCGCAATAAAAATAAAAAAATATTTAAGCCTAAAATCACTTTCAAAAGTTCTTTCTCAAAAAATAAAATAAATATACAGCACCACTCCCCTCAAAAAAAAAAAAAAAAAAAAAAAAAATGGGAAAAAAAGAAGCAAGCCAACAAGTCAACAACGGCTAATGAGGAACCAACAGAGGCCCCTCTATTTCACTCACGTAACTGATGTTATGAGCGCGGACGCACGATGCCACATCCAGGGGTTTGAACCCCATACTGAGGCTTTCACACCATTGCCTGATCACGACCTCAATATGTTCCTTGACCCCCTTTTTAACTGTCTTGTCGCAAATTTTTACAAGGCAATAATCACCATTGAATATGAAGGCAACACCCTCCGCCACGGCAGACAGTTTGTTCCGCAGTGTCTCCATGTTCAGAGACATGTGGGAGGGGCGGTGTACCAAATAGATGGGGGCAGAAGGAGGGTGCACGATGCAATCGGCGACTTCATCCTCAAAGTTCACACTAAACACGCAGCCATAAATGGGAGTGATGCCGCGCAGTCGTCGAAAATCCGAGCCCACCTGAGCGAGTTCCTCCTGTGCAAACAAAAAAAGCGATCCCGTCATGAACGCGTCAATGACAGCGTCATGCTCCTTCATCTCACTCTGCTCCGCCACCTCAAACGATGAGGGGCAATGAAGCTGAATCCTCTTGTTTCTCTTTAGGAGAGTAAAATAAGTTTTCTTGAGTGTTGCCGTTAATATGCCAATGTTCTGCAAGGAGGGGGCACACGTCAACGTCCGCGTGTCAAAAAAAAACGGAAACATCTCTCGAATTGTACGTTTAAATTCGCACAGTGTCTCCGGCGGCGGCTGGTGCATGGCGGCACAGAGAAATGCCAAGTCGGAGAGACCATTGTGTATCACCAGAATCTTTTTCCAGCATCGCGTCGCCGTCACAAGTGTCTCCAGCAGACGTGTGCCAAAGTAGCGAGGGTCTTTCTCAATGGGCACGCCTTCATCACCTGATGATGGGACCCTTGTAATCGTCCTCCGCGAGAAGTGCAGCCCCAACACTCGCATGTGATTTTCAAATTCCGCAAACCACGGTGCCTTCATAAACGGAATGTTCAGCTCCACGGAGTCCCCCACTTCGGCCTGCTTCAGAAAAGAAAGAATGTTTTTGAACTCCGCAGAAAGCTGGCCTCTTAGCTCAGCGAGCGGCAATGCATTTATCCACCTATACAAGGCCGCCACTCTTCCCCCCTGTTCAATCAAGCGGTCCGCAGCAAACGGAATGCACAAGGCTCCCTGCTGTGCCTTGGCGTACTCGTCAAAGGACACAAAAAACAGGCCTTCCGTCACCCATTTGTTAAGGTCCATGGCGTTCTTCAACAAGAACACAGCCGTTTCTGAGGATAGAGTGACCGTTCGATCCCCCTCGTCCTTCTCTGGAGCGGGAAACAAGTAGCAAGAGTAGTTACGGACAGCTACGTGCCGCTTCTTCCTCTCAGCGTATCCCTTCCACCGCTGCGCCATTGCAATAACTGTGTTGATCTCATTCAGTGTTTGGTGCGCACGCAACCGTTCGTAGACGGAATTGAATTCTGCAACGCTCCCGCAGATATTCTCCGCCTCCCGCCGTCTCTTTTCGAGCTCCGCCAGTTCATTGGGGTCTACTTGTCCCTTGGAAACCCACGACTCAATTATCTGCTTGAGCATCGGTCCCATCAATCCACAAGGACAAAAGGATTTTGCTTCCCAGCCCATTGCGTCGCGGTAAGATTGAGAATTGACGCCCGCGCCCGGCGAATTCCCACCGGAGTTGCCTTCCAGGTCGGTATCACCGCGAAACATACTAAATCCAATCTGCAATGGACTAAACAGACGTGCTGCTGCCATCTTCTGCAAAAAAGCCTCCTCGGGCAGCCTAAGAAAATCGGAATTGGACTCGCGGTCAATGCCGGTAAACTCAAGATCGACGGCCGTAAAGTTTGCCTCGCTAAGATCCCTCACAAAGTGAGGAAAAATTTCGGTAAAATTTTGCCGCGTAATAAAAGTTATGTCAGACGTCATTTGCTTGCCTTTCCAACTCTCTCCCTCCCTATCTCTATCCTTATCCCTATCGGTGTGTTTATACGCACGCACACAGACCGATCCATTCGTATCATGAAAGGTTAAAAACATAAAAATAAAATAAGACGATAGAGAAAGAAGTCTGACACGCAGGCACAAAAAGTCACCCTCTTTTGACGGGCACTTCTCCCCTCCGCACGGTCCACTGCAAGAGACGGAGAGTTCAAAGGAGCATGGGAACAATGAAGCCAACAGCAATACTAGCAGCAGCGGTTACCTTCACTTCGGACGTGGGAACCGCAACCACAGTGTGTACGCGAGCAGCAATGCGCCCGAATAAAGATATAAAGGAAAAGTGCGTGGCTCTCTTCGCCTCCCACAGAGCGTCAGCCTTTTCAAACACGATCGATACAAAAGTAAAAAATCAAATTATTTATTGCCAGCATAAAAAAAAGGGTCTTTTTTCCCTCACTCCTCCAATACGCACTTCTCCCTCCACCTGTTCGCCTCCCGTCTTTCCTCATTCACAGAGCACAGGCGGCTAAAGTGGCGAATAACACCCCCAACTCGCACCACTAACACTAACACACACTTGCACTGAAGTTCATGGTATTATTTTGTCATTTTCAATACCGACATTACATAAAACAAGCATCCCCCACCAATACTACTGGAGCACACAGCAAGATTTTTTCTTGTGTTGCTTTGCCGCCTGAAGATGTCCTGCAGAAGCCACAAGATTCTGACAACCCTTCTCGACATTCTGCTGAATCAATATGAGCTGCTCATGCTGTCCTTGCAAAAGAAGTTGCAGATCACTAAAAAGTTGCAGGAGATCCTGCATCTCCTGCTCAAGCTCCAATACAGCATCCCGTGTGCGCGTCACCCGCTCCAGTTCATCCCGGGCCAGGGAAAACGACCGATCCTCATTGCCTGTCGCCACAAGCCGTCGCGCAATCTCAAAGGAGTTTTCAACAGTCATCTCACCCCGATTGAAATTCTCATTAACGCTATTCCCAACAACCCCAAAACGCGCCTTGAGACGCCTTGCAGTAGCATCAACCAAACGTTCTTCTTGAGCCTTCTGTTCCATCCACATGGTGCGTACATTTTGCATCAGTTGACACTCCATAAACATGGCAATGTTGTGTCGCATACGCAGCTCCGCCGTGTTTATGGGCCGACGGTTGGTATTTACTCCCTCTGCCAGCTGCTTGGTGGCGCGATTGTATTTGTGAATCATTTCCCGAGAGAAGTGGCACTCGGAACAAATCTTTTCCACCGCATCGTGTACGGCCTCCCGCTTCCTTGCGCACATCTCCACCAGTTGCTCTACGTGCAGCGCCTCCAGTGCCTCCACCTGCTGCCGTATTTTAGAAAGTGACGTGAAAATGGGTCGCGTTTCATCGTCAATTGGCAGCCACATGGCGCCGCGTTCAGTCCCCTCGCAGCCGTTATTGCCGTTGCCGCCGTAGATGTTGCCGTGCGAGGCCGCCCCCCGCCCACGGTGCGGAACCAGGGAGATGAACTCGGCCATGCGGTCACGGGCCATTGGGTGGCGGCCCCCCACGCCTCTGAGGACACACCCGTGTTCACCCCCCTCTCTCGCCTCCCTAAACGCTCTTTTCATGAAGAATTGATGGCGCAAACAAAGCAAACACACACACACACACCAAAAAAAAAAAAAAAAACGGCAAAAAGAGAAAGAGTTAAGCTGACAGACAGCATCACGCCTGCGCAGACACATCCCCCAAAAGTCAAAAAAATATATTTTAAGTCATCCTGAAGCATTCTCGTTGCTCCTCTGCGGCTCCTCTCATTCATTACAACTCTTCATCCCAAGGCCTTTTTTCGCTCCTTTTTATCCTCTTACTGAAATTCTTTTTACTCCTCTGACACCGCACACACAAACACGCACACACCTCTCTCCCTCTCTGCCTTCCTGCATGCGCTTCGGCCCCTTTGTTTTTTTGTCTTTCCGTTTCCCTCCATATTTTTTGTGCGGATTTTTTATTTTATTTGGATAAAACAAATTATCTTCTTTTTTTTTGTTTTTGGATTTTTTGTCCTCCTCATTTATTCGATTCATCCCCTGTTCCTTTTTTGCGTCTGCCTCCAGCCGTCTCACTGGATGCCGTAGACGTGGTAGAGACGTGTTCGGAGCTGCTCGCTGTACTCTGCCATTTGCTGCGTCCATCGGGCGCCAGCGTGTGCCCTCGCCGCCTGCAGCAACTCCCCCATCGCCCGCTTGACGTCGGCACGACACGACGCAAGCGAGAGGGCGAGGTCAAAAAAGAGGTGGAGACGAAGCACCACAAACGGTAACTGTTGTCGCACGGCCATCAAAAAGCCGCTCACCGCCTGCTCCTTGTGCGGCACATCCTTCACATTGCGCATGTACGAACAAAACGCGTCGGCAAAAAGGGAGACTTGGCAGCCGGACTGAGACTCCACCCCAGGATCGGCGTAGAGCATCAGGCCAAGACAGATACACAAGTTCTCCGCCATGTTGCGCATATCAGCCGCGTGGGAGACGGTTCCAAGAATACGGGCCATCGCCGCAAACAGCTGTGGCATTCCGTTTGCTGCGTCCAACGTGGACAAATTATCAATATCCATTTGATTCTCTAATAAATTGCACATACACCACCCGATATTGCTAATGACGCCATATGTGTTTTCATCTAGAACCGCCAGGTTTTCCAATGCCGCCTTCACCACACGTTCCAGTTCGCCCTGCACGGTGACAGGACAGACCTTTGACAAGTCGCCAAGAAGTGAAAAGCCACTCTGACGCACCTCTGCATCCTCGTCTCGGAGAGCCTCCAGCACTGTGTAAACAAGTGGCGGATGGCACTGCATGACGAGTGGTCCCAAACCCGTGCCAAGTGCATCAAATAGCCCGGATAAAAGATCTGCAGCTGTCACGAGAAACTCATACTCCGGTGGATCTTGATTCGTCCTTCGAGCTTCAGTGCGTGCCTGCACATGCATGACAAGTAAACAGTAAGAGCGTTCAAAAAGGTTTTTAGCCAACTCCGGCTGCACAGCTGCACCAAGTGCCCTGCAGACACCAGAGATGCATTTAAACAGGGAGAAAAGAAGCGGACTATCGTTGGGAGTGCTGCCCCAAATCTCACCGAGGGGTGCCATCAGCAGTTCCACAGAGTCCGGCCTAACGCGCAGTTGTTCTCCCATCGCCTCGCAGAATGTTTCCAAAGTTTCAAGCAGCAACACACGATTCTTGAGTTGATACCCGCGCAGACACCTTGCCATGCAGTCAATTATAAAAGGAATTTCATTGTCAAGCTGTCCTTCGTCACAAAGAACAATGGTCTTCTGCAGTGCCGCTGTGGCACCCTCCTGCACAAGCTTCGAGGGACTTTCCATCTTCTGAAGAACGCACGTTATAAAGCCTTTCAATTTCTCCGGCACGGAAACAATATGCTTTCCAATCTGCGTCATCGTCCAAAGTGAAATATTCCAAACGAGGAAGTGCACAGAGGGGTCCCCAAGCAACTGAAGTAGCCGCGTACTTATTTCAGGCAGATACGGCGTCATGGAGTCAAAACAGCCATCCATGATAGCCCCCAGAGCCAATATAGCGGCTTCCAACTCTTTCCATGAGTTGTTTGGTTGCATCATACCCTCAATTACAGTTAAAACCGTGAAAATAATCCTTTCACCATAATACTCAGCGATGGAATCAAGCGTCAGGGCGGACACACGCCGCAGGTTCCATTCTTCAACTTCCCCGTCGTCATCATCGGAATCATCATCCGCATCATTGGCGCCAGTATCGTTTACCCGTGCCTGATAATGCCTTGGTCTGATGTCATCAATCTTGTCAGGGACATTCCAGTCCTCGGCGCTGGCTTGCAACATGCTAATTTCCATTTCAGAGTACACCATGGAACGAATCAGTATGGGAATGATGTTCTCTAGCGTCGACTCCACCAGGGATGCAAACCTGGGAAAGCACAAAACGCCACGCCAAAACTCCGTTGCCTCAATGCGAAGGTCCTCATCTGTTCCATCTGGTGAAGCTGTTGCCATAGACATGAGGTTCGTTATTTTATGAAACAACTCGTCAGATATAAGGTCGTGGTATCCAAGTGACAAAACAAGACACTTCACAGACTTGGTGGACAACTGAGCAGAAGACGGGTTCTGCAGATTCATAAAGCAGGATTCAATGACATTTAGAACATAAGGACGCATACTGCTGTAAGAAAAGCTGCTACAATCAAAGCCCGCCTGCTCAAGCACTACAGAAACTGTATCTAATGCCTTTAGCTGCACCTCCAGGCCCTCTCGCCCTCCAAATTGTGCTCCGAGATAGGGCAAAACAGCACTCACAACAACACCAGTGAGTTGCCGCATGTCCAGGAGTTGCACGGTATCATCAACAATCTGCGACAATGCACGCATTGCGCCATGAACGGCGTGTAACTCCCCACTGCGTGTGGAAAAAACACCTGTGAGGGAACTGACGACGGGCTGCACCGGCCAATATGCTTCCCTGACAGCAGCACTGATGATGGCGCATGCCACAGCGCGTATGCCGCACTCCGGGTCCACCACTGCGCTCTCCATGACCGCAACCTGCAGCGTCTTGTTCTGCAGACACGATGGATGTGCCAAATGATTTTTAAGGAGGTATCCGACAAGTTGCCGTCCCCGAGTCGGCACCCTAGCGTCCGTAAACAACTCCGCGCAACTTGAAAAAAAGATGTCCGGGCTCTCTTTCAACCGCTGTAACTGTGCCTCACCATGGTGACGGATGTCTGGGTTCGCGTCCGCGGCAGCACCCAGGGCGTCAAGGATGGCCTGCCTCACATCGCTCATTGTTCCTGTGTGGACGAACGGAGCCGGTTTTTAAAAAAGAAAAAAAAAGAAAAAAATTTTTTTAAAAAGCAAATGTGAGAAGCAGAAATGACACAAAAATATGTTTCCGTGTCTGTGCACTTGCTTAACTGCAAAGAGACAGAAAGAGCGAAAAAGACCCTTCCTTCACCAATGCCACTCGGTTGCAACCGCACGGCACCGGCCGTGAAGCGCCAAACGATCGTCATTCCCTCCTGGAGAGGGGAATCAAGACGTCTGGTGGCGCTGAGGTGACAGAGCAAAGACCAAAATCACGCCAGCAACAGAGCTCAAAAAGAGTCCCATGCCTCAAATTCCTCCACTCGACTCATTCCGCCCACGCCCATTCTTCCTTTTCGCGCTCTCCCCTCTTTCACCTGCTCATATTCTCCTGGCAGCATCAGTTGCTGTTGTTGGTTGGCGCCGCTCACCAAGAGCAAACATGGAGTCCCGGCGCATGCAGCAGAAGAGGATAATAAAAGCTGAAGGACAAAAAAAAAAAAGGGCAATCACCCTTGTTCACCACCACTGCCAGAAGAGTCGATGCCCCTGTTGCTGCAAGAATTTTCGTCCGCATCCCAATTAGCGTCAACGCAGAGCCTGTACGCAGCGCTGAACTTACCTTGAAGATATGCATTATTGTTGTTCTTTGCTATGGCAAAGAGATGATCGAAGCGCCGTCTTGCCTCCTCACGGTCCTTTTTTTCCTCCAGCGGAACGCGGAGGTTGGCGTCCATTCCAAGAATATGTAGTGCCTCCGAGGATGACATCAAAGCCGTGCTGCAGCCCTCGCCTGTGGCTGTGCCGTCCGCCTCCTCCCTCAGCCTCTGCGCCTCGCGGTTGTGGGCGACCACGAAGGCCTGAAACACCAGCAGGCCACCGGCAACAATTAGACGGACCAGCTGCGGGGGAATGTGCAGCACACGCGTCGGGCGAAAGGCCGCCGGTTGCACGCAACGGACAACTGCCGTTGGACGGAAGAGCGCAAAGGCACGCCGCATCTCTCCTCTTTGCCCGTCACCCACACACGAACACGCAGAGAGGTACAAAAAAAGAGCCCGCAAAGGGAAATAAAAAAGAAAAAAAGTCTCGGCAAAAAAAAAAGACAGAAAAAATTCAAAAAAACAAATAGGAAAAAAAAAAAAACGTATCGATTTCAAAGGACTCGTAACAAAGAGAGGGCAACGGCAAAGCACCACAACAAAAAAAAAAACTGTCTTCACACAATTTCCGCCACAAGACGATTCCTTTGATGTTTTCGCACATTCTTCCATTCCTCAAACTCGGACTCACTCATCTGTAGAAGAGGGCCGGTCAAGGATTTCTTCATGCGAACAGGATCGTAATTGGGACTCGAGAGGGAGCGGTGGGTCTCTGAGTACAAACTCCGGATACGCTCAATGTTGGCTTCCGTCATTTTGTACACGGAAGACGACGCACGGGCCTTTTTCAGGGCCGCATCCCGCGTTCCAAGATAGCGTCGCTCCGCCCTAACCAATCTGTGTGTGATGTACCGATAAACTTCATGTAAAAGTGGCAATGTTCGGCGCTGTGGCAGGGGCGCCTCGCGGACAAACTTTACGAAACGTTCTTCCCAGTATGCTAGCTCCTCCATGGCGTCTATGAATTCTCCGCAAGGGTCAAAGCCCTCTCGGGGGCCAAACATCTTCTTCTCCCATTCCTTGAGCTGGGCACCGCCATGCTTTACTCGATCCTCCTCGACCTGCTGTCGCGTCCAGACGGGGTTCTGCGCCGTGATGGAGCGCGCAGGCCACGGGTCGTCACCGATTATGTGTTCTAGCGGAATTAGGCGATTAAGGCCTAAATCAGGTGGAAATGGAACATACTTCGCTGCGTGGTCCTTCGCGCTAGGAGGCTTGTGGCCGTACTCCTCCTCATACATCCGCTCTTGCGCCCGCTTGTACACAAAGTCGGCGTCAGGCTTGTGCCCCATGTCCCGCAACCTCAGCGCGTCGTGCAGAACATCACCAAAGATGGAGTCAACGCTTCTTTTACGACGATTTCTTCGTTGGTTCACTGCTGACGCTACCGGATCAATTTCATCCGGTAGTGCCTGGTCCTTCGATGTTTGCTTATCCTTCAGCGCAGCCTCAACGGCCTTAAACGAGTCTTCTGCGCCTAGTGCATCGTCGTCGGAGTGGCCCGGTTTGCCCTGCACCGACGAGAACAGGGCGCCTGCCGAGAGATTCGGGCAATAAAACAACAGCAGCGGCAGACAACCTCCACAATTGACAGCAGCCAAACGGCGCATCAATCCTCCACTTCCTCAGCACTACAAAACAAACGAACGAAAAAAACAAGAAGAAAGGTGTTACTGATACAAGGGAAATCACAATGAGCCCAGACCCCCACACGCCCAACCGATTACCTCGTTTCATCGCCTCCCTCTAGCAACATGGGCGTCGTCTTGCATCTCTGTACCTGCAAACGTGTAAACCTAAATGTCGCATGTCAGCGCATCTCATTACAACCCTTTTCCCTCTCTCCTCCAGTGAAAGTAAACAAAAAACAACAGCATGAAAGCTAAAATAAAAATAAAAAACCATCAAACCTCACCACAATTTCCCCATTTATCGGCAGTTTCATTTTTTAAATACAGAAGCAAGTGACAATATTAATGTTACATTTCTTTTCTCTATTCCACTCTGTGTGTGCCTGTATCCATCCCAATAGAGGAAAATAAAAAAAGTAAAACAAAGGCTGCCTCCGCTTCCGTTTCAGGCAATTCCTTTTCCCAAGGCCTCGTGGGCGTCTTCCCAGCGTCTCACAATGGCCTCATCGACGGCACATAAAGCAGCGTCCAAGAAGAACAAATGTGCCTCCAGCCCTCGCACGACACGCCGAACTTGATCCCCTTCTGTCTCTTTAGACATCATCGGTGCAGGCAGAAATATAGGACTTGATGCACCAACAGGCACCGAGGCGTGAGAAAAAAGAAATGCAATGTGCCTGAGCCACCGTATCCCTCGGCTTTTCGCCTCCACCTCAGTTAACCCGCTCGCCGCCTGCCTCATTGCCGTCCGTGCCGCATCCACTAGTTGAGTCGCAATAGAAGTTATGGGAAACGCAGCATCGCTGTCCATATTATTTTCACCGCTGCCTTTGGGGCTCAAAATAATGTAGCCCCCCGCAGCCTCCGCTTCATCGGCTTTGACGTGACACATCAGTTTCATCACCTCATTTAGAACATCGTGAAGCTCGCTGCTTCGCTCATTCCGCCCCCCATCCATCTCATTCATGAATTTAAAAAACACATCACCCAACACTTCCAACGGGGCTGTGCTGGGGGTGGAACGACAATCACCGTCGCCCTCTCGTGACGAATCAACGACATCATGGCCGCATGCAGCAGTACCAACCGCCAAAGTTTTGGCGCCAAAGGCCAAAGAGATGTATGCGGCAACGGAAGCCTCCATAATGCTCTTAAGTGGCCCTCGTGGAAGCTGATTGTCCAGGCCACAATCGCCGACTGCCAAGCGAAAGTCAATATCTGCTGATGCACTGAGAGCTGTTAACAACTCCGCCACATCTGCCAGCTCCACCATTTCTTCGGGTGGTTCTCGAAGCGTTGTTTCGGCCACGCATGGTGCCTCCAACAGCGTTTCCCCATCCCCCGTAAGCCGGAAAGGAACTCCCCCCTGTGATCCATGATTTATGAAATGTCGCCGCATCATCTCTAGAAACGGTGCCGCCGCGTCCTCCCCGGGCAATTCAACCTCTGCATCACCATGGCGGGTTCGAGAGTGCGGCGTGTCAGAGGACGGAAAGGAGGAACAACGGTGACTCTTCTGTATGCGCTCCCACTCATTCAACAGCTGTGCAACCCTTCCCGTTGGTGCCCCGGCGGGTAGTGGAGAGAAATTCATGTCCGCTGCATTCACAAGAGACTCGTCGCATGGATACAGATTATAACCAGAAAAAAACTCCTCCACCATTTCAAGCTGCCCCAATAGTGTCTTTAAGAGAAGTCCTTGACGTGGTCTGAAGACAGCGCTGTGGATTTTTTCCACAAAACGCATATCAACCTCCCGTTTCGCCTCTTCAAGAGCTTCCATGGAAGAAGCAACCGCGTCAAGCCCTGTTGGAATAAACATGTCCAGAAAAGCCTCTTCATGCTCTGCACGACAGCGTTTTGACGCTGGCTCGCTGTCAGCACCACCAGCAAAAACCAACTGCTCGCTGATGCCCCGCAACAATTTGCCCAGCACATCAGAGCCCCAGCCCACCGTTGTTGTCGGACAAGGCAACCAGGCAAAATCCTCTGGGACACACCACTCCAAAAAAAAAAGTGACTGTTTGACAAAATCACTGGAAATGAGGCTTGCTCTGCACCAATCGCATGAAACATCCCGCGACTGGAGATGTGCCATAAGCCAATTCCACCCATCCCCTTCTGTAATCAATGCTTTATTCGGATAACTCAATGAGAGCTGCTGCAGTTGCTCTGATAAAACACTGAATTTGGCGCTTGGTGGAAATCCACACAACCGAGCATAAATACCCTCCTCTGTTCCATCTGCATTGTCCGCGCATCGACATACAAGAGTCGGGAACATAGTTCCTGGCCCCCTCACCGCCGCCGTCTCTGGAGGCGATAGCACAATCATAAGCAGCTCAGGATGTCGTGAAATGGATGTCTTTTTCTGCATCCGCAATCCTCTCGTACTGTACTTCCAACACCGATGTGCCTCATCAAAGAACGTAGGGGCTTCCATGTAAATGTGATCCAAGTCAACAACGTAGTATCCGCGTTCCAACATAGAGGGGCTGGTCTGCCGCTGCAAATATGCACAGGCCTTGGCCGCGGAGGGACTCAATGAAAAGGTGTGCAACAGGGCATGTGGCTTCCGTGGGCATGACGAAAACCCTCTTTGGAAGGCCTTGAAGAGCCTCTCTTCAAATGGGCATAACGACGGGTCTCTTGTTTTCCTCCGTCTCCCTCTCACCCCGTTGATCGACATGTTACAACATGCGTCAGACGTGACAGTCAACGATTCGGCCAGAGCCTGCGTGACGAACACCAACATCCCACGTATTGATTGTGGAAACGGCGCCGTGTCTGAATTTCTTCCTCTTTTGCCGCCCAACGGCATGAAGTCGCTCTTCCCTGCAGCTCCCTCTCCCCACATCGGCGAGCAGGCAGAAAAAAGAAAAAAAAAGGAATTGATAAAAAAAAAGCTTGTCTCACAAGACCCGCGTCCGTGCATGCATGCTACCCAAATTGTCGTGATGCAAAGATAAAATAAAATAAACAGGCAATAAGGCGGATAAAGAAGCAAATTTAAGAGGGCAAGTGATGTTCTTATCTTTACCAACCCACATTAGAAAAAGTAAAAAAAAAAAAAAAACGTCGGAAACATTTGATGTATTTTTCTTTATCTCATGTTTTGTTGCTTTCCTCCCACCAAAACAAATCCTATTATGCCAACCGCTCCAAGTCACGAAAAAGTCGATTTCAGTAATAAAGTGATAATGATAGCACCTGCGTCAAAACTTTGAGGTACGCGTGCTCCTCAGCATGGTCTTCAGCACGTTGGGCTTCGAACGTGTGCATAAAGAACTTCAACGCAATTTCCACCTTCGCAGGACTGGGATGAAATTCCCTCAACTACCGAAGGTGGCGGTCGGCCTCCTGATACTCCATGCCGCATTGGCTCATGAGGTACGCCATGGCGAACATCCACGCCCTTGTCTCTCCCGTCTTGCACATAATGTACACAATAAGTTGATGGTTGGCTTTCAAAAGCACTCGCTTCTTTCTATCGCCAAAACGAAGCAATGAACAGAATCCCGTGGAGTCCAGTAGATTCTTTTGAGTATCAACTTGTCCAGCGTCCACAATAGTTAATGCCATGTGAACGCTTCTGCAGACGGTGGACAATAATTCAAGCATTTCATTCCCCACCTCCTGCGCATTCTCCAGTTTCTCCGGGGCAATGAATGGAGCAAAATATTAATCCACCACCCCAGGGAAACGCTCCCAGTCCTTCAACGTGGCAAAGCCAGGCGGGACCGTCTCCCCCAACTCCATACAAGAGACCACGGAAAGCATGCTGCCACCGCGTGCTAGGCACTGTCGCCATATTTCCAGCATGTGCCCCGCTCCATCTTGTTTCGGGTCGGCATGCGGTACACCCCCACTATAATGCGGTCAACTACCCATGTCCACAACTTCCTCCCAACAGACGGGGTCGTCGATACCACTGAACGCTCTCTTGAAGCCATCGCCAACGGGTTAACATATTCTTCGCCATGAGAATTCGTGTTTGAGCTCTTCTTCTGAGGTGCGAACGGCTGCACACAGAGCCCTGGACTCAAGAGAGTCTGCAGTAACTTGGTTTGAAAAAGACTGCCAAGACCTCTTGAATTGCTGCCACCGCGCTCCCCCTGCAGTTTCCGCAGTCCCTCCTCCAAGAAGTTGTTGTAACAGTCCTCGAGATACAACATGACCAGCTGATCATCCTCGGAAAGACTCCGCCGGCCCAGCAACGCACTGAGCTCCGTCAGCTCCCTCAAATTGCACTCATCCTCCCGTCTCAAACTGTTCAACGCCTCCAGGAAAAAGAAAAAAAAGGACGGCAGTCCGTCAATTGCGCCCCCTCCCAGCTCCCCCCTCACGTCGACTGCCCGATCGACCGACCTAAATAGGCGGCCTGGGTGGCACCAAAAAAAGAGTGAGCAAAAGAATCAACAATTAATGACCATATCAATAAAAAAATAAAAAATAATAAATAATAATAATAATAAGACAAGATGGTGGTAGCAAAAGGATGCAAACAATTCCTTGAATGAGAAAGCTGATTTTATTCCACCAAAGATCAACAACAACAACAACAACAACAACACGGCAAAAAAACGAGAGAAATAAGAAAATGAGGTGGTGTTAACCTGAACCAACCAACAGCTACAAAAAGATATCATTGCCTTCCTTCCACCCTGAATACTCCACGCAAGCACCACATTCCGTGTCAGTAAAATGGTTTGTACCGTGCAAGACGCCAACTCAATATTGCCTTGGCCGAAGGTTTCAAAGGGCGCCGCATCCACGTTGTAACTGCCCCGTTACCCATTTGCATTTCACTGTCTGTTTTGTAAATCATCCATCGTGAGAGGTGAGGTAGGGAGACCTTCAACCAATTTTCTCGGATGTAGGATGGAATGTGGTCCGTTCCCTTCTCGCGGTATCTGGGATTCCCCCACGTATCCCATGGATGGCCCTCAATATAACTGTTGGGAATACCAAAATATATGTACTCCCGCACGGACCCTATACGTCGAATCATGGAAGTAGGATCATTGTTCATGATCATGTCAGAAATCAGCACAATGGCGGGTTCGTACTTCTCTAACGCAACCTGATCCTTCATTTTTATTATAGGATGAGGTTTAAATTCGTCCTGTTTATTTGGTGGTATGACAAGAAGATATGGATTCATGTTGGGCTTCTCGTGAACATGAATGACGGGTACGGGGATCTTTCCTGTTTGATTCAGTAGGCCGCCCAGCTTTCCTGTGCGGGAGCCCAAAAACAGGATGGGCGCTTTCCTCGCCCTCGGATCCTCAATGAGAGAGTGACGGTAGGCGAGATATTCCGCGGTGCCATCAATCAACTCCCTTGTGGGAAACGTGGATTGCGCTGTCACCATCAGTAAGTACGCCAATGTGTTAAAAGGTGTGTAGTAGTTCCAGAACAGGCAATACCACTCTTCAAAGCTCATTACTGTTTGCTTGTTGACATCACACCGAGAAAGTGGAAGTCGTGAAATGTCCTCCAGGCGTACAAAAGGGCCCTGCCTCCACCAAAGCGGCTTTTTAAGTCCAACGGTTCGCAGTGCGGCTGCATATGAGGGGATATGGGTGGGATAAAAGCACCTCTCCAGCTCTGCAAGGTCCACATTCTTGGCCCTTAAGAAATTGTTTCCAAGAGACTCGGCGTAGAGCACCGCGATGGCCTGCAAGTGACTGTCCTTTCCTTTTTTGTCAGCCTGCTGCAGACGCTCACGAAGAGCATCAAAGCGCTCCGCATCAAACTTTGGATTCATGGAGCCGGTAAGTTGCACAAACTTGGACTCCGCAGCTTTGCTGTGGAAACGGTTAACCGGCGGCACCTCGAAGGTGTAGCCATCGATGGTCGCCACCTTCTCGTAGATGCTGCGCTCTTCCTCGGAGGAGTACTGCACCCCGAGTTGCGTGGGCGTGCCAAAGCCCCCGCCACGGCCAGCGCCAGACGACATTCCCACCCGCTCACCCTTCGCAACCCTAAGAGCCTAAAAACAAACAAACACACGCCAAAAAAAGTCATTTTTGTGGGGAGGGAAGGGGTTCGTTGAAAAGAAAAACAAGAATAAAATCCACAAAACCACGTCAATAAACTCGCATGTAATCACTCATCACCACCACCACCAACACCACCAACAACAACAAGAACAACACCGCCAGCTCTAAATCTTTGACGCCCCCCTCTTGGGCAATAATTCACTTTCCTTTTTCTCAATTTCTTATTTTTCCCCTCCGTGTTCCTCGTCCACTACAGTTATAAAAATAAATAAATAGATATATATATATAAGCAGAAGCCCGAAAGCAACATATATGCACACACACAAAAAAAAAAGGCATATACATTGAATTATTTCATTTTATCCCTTTTATGGAGCATAATCCTCTATGCAATTAAGTTTGCTTGCGGATCACGGTAAACTGGCGTCATTGCACCTGCTGGGCACTCATACGGCGCACAACCGTTGCTTGAAAACAGAAGGGCTGACTGCCGCGTAGGGTGAAAGTGCGCTGGACGCTCGGTAACCCTGCAGAAGGGCTGCGAATTTGCAGGAACACCGGACACCCTCCGGTCGCAATTCGTGGAAATCGTCGCCCCAATTCGTTGAACCACCTTCGTCAAGGAAGAAGTAATCATGAAAGAGAGGAGATGTGGTTGCTGCTCCATGCCTGGCGGTATGCCAAAGTCACTCCCCGTCCTCAGCAAATGCTCTGCTATCGCGTCATTATCGCTGGGTGCCGCCTCATGTTGCATAAGAAAATGCAGCACGCACAGTCTGGCACACATCAACCGTCGAAGCTGTAGCAACTGCAATGCGGTTATCCTATCGCTGTTGATGTACACACAACTACCGCTTTGGGCCACCTCAAACGTAACTGACTCCGCGTCCTCATGGATTTCCTCGTAGACAAAGCGACTGCTTAGCAACAACAGCATGACGTTAAACACCTCTGGCTTAAGCTGCGAGGAGAACGAACCCAAAAGACGCCCGTAAACAGTTTGTACGGTAAAAGGGATGCACACCGTGTCGCGTTCCCATGGGCACGTGGTTGGCACCGATCGATCCCTACAACAATTGATGTTCACAAATACACCACTTCCGGCATATCCCTTCTTCTGTGCGACACCCGCATCAAAAAGCACATAAATGCCGTGGTGCATGTGAGCTGCTGAACAAATAAAAGAAAGTGTTAATGCATTTTCATTATACTGCTCCATTAACTCATCCACATCTGTAACGTCTTCAAAGGGAACTATAGCGGCAAGTTGTTCCCTTGTTTGCTTTGCTACAAGAAGAATATCTGTAATACGAGCCCGGCTCAAATATCGTTCTTCACACCATGCGTTCTGCCCCTCTTCCGATATACCCTCACGCTGCATCGCCATGTAAGCAATGACTGCGCCAACGGCAGAAAGTGCATCGTTGTAGTATTCCCCCTTAAATATTCGCATAAATTTCTCCACCTCATTCAAAAGATGTAACCGCTGTAACTTATCCGTCGCATTGTACGGCACATAGAAGGGTGTGTTGCAGGAGACGCAAGATGCAGCAATAACAGAAAGTGTCGTAAGACCCATAATGAGCCCGCTGAACACAATAGTGCCCGGCTCCACACCAAGGGGAAGCCCCCCAACAATCAGCCCACGCAGAGACAATTTAAAGCGATGTTGAGCCAACGGGAGACCCAACACGTCATTATCATCCTTTCTGGACGCATATGCATCCGCAATAAGCGCACTCCATGCGTCCTTCACACGGTGATTTATGGTGTTATCGATTGCCTCAATCAATGATCCACAATCCCCCTCCGGCACAATATACCCACCATCACAGAGCGTTGAAAGACTCAATTCCACACTTACCTTCCGAGGCTTTTCACGACATAAGGAAAACATTAGAAATGGTGAGGGTGTCAAGTGAAGGCAGTGAAGCACAATTTCATGCAATACGGCATTCCCCAAGCGAGATTCATTTGGAGACAACTGTTGCGCCTGCTTTCGGGACAAAAGAGTAAAGAAAAACCCCTGTTGCACCCGTCCAATACGGCCACGGCGCTGCAGCATATTTACCGAACTTTCCCAAACAAGTTCCAGAGGCGGAAATGCCACCGAGTTGGGGTTGGTCTCAATAATATGCGGTCTCTTAGCCGTGCCGGAGTCAATGACAAACACAACATCTGGCAAAGTCAAAGACACCTCGGCTATGTCTGTGGCAACGTAGACCTTCTTTTTTGTAACAGACTCCCGCTGAAGTGCTTCCTGAATGAACCCAAGCTCAATATCACGGTACCATGGAATAGGGTCCAACTGATCGCCCAGATTGTTCCGAATCCACAAAGATATCTGTTCCACAACTGTACGACCCGGCACAAAAACAAGAATGCTGTGTTGCGGTGCTGCTGTGTTCGCCAAAAATTTTAACATCTCCTTCAGCATCAAAATAATGGTATGAAGCTGAATAGATTGCACAACTCCCGTAGGACATGTACTTGGCTCAACAAAAGTCATGCCAATAAGTTTGCTAACATCCTCCAAGTAATAATCATGAATGGGATACATGGCATTGGCTTTGGAATATTCAGCTACTGACAAATTCTCAAAGAAACAATTCCACTTAGATACCTCTGCGGTGGCGCTGCAAAGCACCAGTCTTAATTTTCCCGGATTACGTAGCATCACGAGCTTCATCATAAGAAGAAGTACCTCAACCTCGGTAGTACGCTCGTGAAATTCATCAAATATAACGTGTGTAATGCCAATATCATTAGGAGAATTGTGAATCAAGTGTAGAAAAAGAGTGTAATTTGTCACATACATAATTGGGGTTTCACCTAACGTTCCCACGTGTTCCCCCCGCACCCAGTAGCCCACCTTTCTTCCAACCTTCTCGCCGTACAATGCGGCGACGCGTTGTGCCAATTTAATTGCGGGCGTGCGTCTTGGTTGGGCGTTTACCACCTTGGCATCCGGCTGTCCATCGAGGATGGCCTTTGGGATGAGCGTACTTTTGCCTGTGCCTGTGTCTGTCACAACAATTGTGACGTCGTGGTCCCGAATCAGTTTTCGGCACTTTTCAACGTCAAGAGTCCCCACAACGCCAATCGCAGTGCTCGCTTGCGCCCGAAGGTGCTCTGCACCCCCCTCGTCATCGGTTTGAAGGGCGTAAAGGCTTTTAAACTTGTGCAAAATCTCCTCATCAGAAAGGGATGGCAATATATGATTTACCGTTCCTGCGCCGTTCACTCCACAAGGACTATCCTTCCGGTTATCACCAGACCCAGTTCTGTGACCAAATTCAACTTCGCTTATGGGCTCCCACTTCCGTCCCATTGATTGGTTTCTGTAGATCTGCTGCTGGCGCTGGAGCCCAAAATCCCGATTGCCTCGCCGTACTCCCCCTTGTTGTTGCGATGGCTGAGGCAATGAATGCGCCACTGCTTTCGAGTCTATCCATTGCTCGCCCAACGGCAAAATTCCCTCTTGCGTCATTATTGACTGCTGCTGTCTCAGTTGTCGCTGATGTTGCTGTAATTGAACTGACTGCTGCTGCTGATTGAACTGCGGCCGGCTTAAGTGGTGCAGTGAAGAAACCGGAGCATGCGTCCTTTGCTGCTGCTGCTGCTGCTGCTGCTTTAACTTTGCCAGCTGCTGTATCAGCCCACGCTCATCTCCTTGCCGCTGAGAGAGGCAAAGCAAAGAGAGTTCTTGTTGCTGTAACCTCTGTTGCTGAAGAGCAATCTCCTGCTGAACCCTAAGTTTCTCCTGAGCAAGTTCTTCTTGCACCCTCTGCTGTCGCAGTAAAACACCTGGCGAGACTGAATTTGTCCCTGCCTTTTTTGTCGTTTCCCAGCTGGTGCCCAATGGATCCGCCGCTCCGTATGTGTTCATGCCAACCGGTGGGGGCGGTTTTGGTGCTACCGGTGACGGCGCCCATTTTATATCGACTCCAGTGGAGTGAGCAGTGCTCAAAGGCACCGGCAATGGATTGCCATGAATAAATTCTGGTGCAAAAGGAGGAACGTTAAGACCTTTCGTACCATCTATTCCCCCATGAGGCGATGACGCCTGCGCTACTTGCCGTAATGGTTTCTCTTCGTGCTGCTTCTGTGGCAAATGCTGGGATCGGCGCATAGAAGTAGAGTTGAGCGTGTACATTGGCGCAGCTCCGTGGCAACACGTGAAATTCCGACCACCTACGCCCCACACCCTGCTAATAACGTGGCCACTGGGCTCGTGTGTGGATGTGGATACCTAATTTGTATATGCGTGTAGTGCCCGCGCCACCGTTGGCTTCTCTCTCCCTCCTCTCCTTCTCCTCGGGCAGTTGTCCCTCACAATTGAAAGAGAGCGAAAGAAACACTGCCCGCGCAGTAAAAAATACGCATTAAAAAAAAAATGTGCAGAAACAGGAAAAAAAAAGTAACCAAGTGCCGCAGCGGTAGTCCACAAAAAAGCATCAACAAAAACCCCACAAAAGACGTGGGAGGAGTTATAATGTGCAAAGAGGCATGCATTCCTCTCGTACGCGCAAATAACTTCGCCCCACGCTCCCGCCACGGCTCACAAGCATACAGCACGGGGCGGCAGCGTCAATGTGATGACAGAAAGTAGGGATATATTTAACCAAAGATAAAAAAAAAACACACGCGTTTGGCGTTCAAAAGATCCGCCCGGACGGATCTTGAGCTTATCTAAAGAAATCAAGCAAAAGAGGGAAAAGGGGTAAATGGAGAGGCAGCGGATTCGCCACATCCTCAATGTTTGCTCCAAGTAAATACATGTGTATTCGGAGAGCCACTCTCGTGACACGGCGCAGTCTATTCAGATTGGTGATGTTTCTTCCTTACGAAGTGGAAAATTTTGTGCCCATCCACAAGACCCCGCCGCGAGGTAGGAATCAAAAGAGGATGAGTGGGAAAGCAGAAAAGAAAAAAGCATTCGTCTTGCCGTTATCGGTTCCTCGACTCCTTCCACCGCGGTGTTTTATAGCATTCATAAGATGGGCAAGCATCGCAAATAAATATATTCGCCTTTGATGGAGGATATATTAATCCAGATAACCAACCTCCCTCGCGATCATTCTCTTCACAAGCTCCTGGAAGCATGCCCGTTCTTTGTTTTTTGCTTTTTGTTTCTTTTTTTACTTCTGCTGCTGTTTGTGTGCATCATTGATGCAATGACTACAGAACACAGGCACACACACACACACAAAAAAAAAAAAAAAAGAGTCGTATTTGACATCGGTATTAATAACTTATGTGTACTTTTTGCATCCCTTTGTTACCTCCTCTTTGCGTTTTCAAAGAAACCTCCATAATTTGTCACAACCACTCCTTCCACCCCCCGTCTGCCGTCTCCACTCTCCGCAAACAGGGCATTCATTGGGCCGCAGATATTTCTTGCACAAAGTTTTCTCTGAGATTGGCAATTGCCATCGTCGCTTCTTCCGCCGTCGTCCCTTGGGCGACCATCCAGGCCAGGAAAGTAAACGAATTTGGCGGTGGCGCCACCAAAGCCCCTGGCACGGCAGCCACTCCATAGTCAACAAGTCCCTTTCCAGATACGGGCACCTCCAGCCGCACCAAACTCCCTTCCTGAAAAGGATAGATGTTTACAGAAGCACAGTAGCAACTCGGCGGAAACAAGGCATCTTTCGCCTCATTCTCGTTGCTGCCTACCTCCTCCAGTTTCTCCGGGTAGAGGAGAAAAAGCTGCTCTCTTACTGACAACCCCAATGCACACCGCACCAGTGACTCACCCAGCTGCAGGCCACGGTAGCAGGTTCGTAGCATGCTGTTTGTCTCCGCACTCCCTAGGCGACAATTCACCTCAATCACATACGCCTGGCGTCGTTCAAAGTCATATTTTGCCTCAAAATGCAAAACACCATGAAGATCCTTGCCGTGGAGTACCACAAATTTATCCAATAGCCTCATTAATTCTCGTTGCTCGTACATTGGCAGTGCCGTGGGGCACAGTCCTCCCTCCTCAAGAAAATAAGGCGGACGCACCTCAAAGTTATCGGAGATGGAGCAGAAAACAACATTACCATTTTCTACACAACAGTCCAAATCAACCTCCTGGCCGCCAATGTACTCCTCGAACAGTATTTCCACCCTCTCCATCCCCTCCGCAGGGTTAAGGACGGCTGTCAAATGCTTCATATCACTATGCGAGGCAAAAGCATCCCACATCAAGAGCGCATGATCCCGCACGTCCTCCACACCGTAGCAGAGTTTTGCCAATATACTCCCTGCCCCAGGGGAAGGCTTCAACACAAGGGGAAAAGTCACTCCCGCCGCTTTCAGAGTCTCTTGAATGTGCACTACTAGTTCTACTGATGCTGTTTGGGGGCGAGTCAAAACCCCCGCTTTCGGAGACGCGATGCCTTCCCTTGCACAGTCCTCGCGAAGGAGGGACTTTACACATGTCCTTCGTAACTTTTCTGGTGGCAGTGGAATGGGACGATACCCCATGCGCTGAGACAACACAGCTGCAGGGTAGATACCGTACTCATCAAACGATATGATTGCATCCGGTAACAATTCGTGCTGCGTAAGAAAACGCCTAAGTATGGGTTCAAGTGCATCCACTTCATTTGTGTCATGTTGCAGATGATAATGAAAGACCCCATCAAACGCATCGGCCGGCCGCACCGGGTGGACGACCACAAAAATAACGCCCATTTCCCGGAGGTGTTTGTAGATGGGGGCTCGTGCAACACTGCTCGTTCGGAGCAGCACCACAACCTTTCCTTCCATTATTTGCCTTTGCCGTTCCTTCCGTTCCTCTTGTGATCTTTTGCTCGCCCTCCTCCCTTCGCCGCAAACAGTCGTAACGCAAACACGCACGCAGGCCTCCACCCACCCCACCGCAACCAAAAAATGAAAATTAAAAATTAAAAATTAACAAGAGAGAAGATATCCGACGCAGCAGTGCACATCCCACCCGTGTGGGAGCCGCTCATGCCTCCACACTTCGATGATTAAAAAAACAAAGCAGCAGCAGCAGCAGTAGTCAAATCAAGACGGGCAAACACACTACTCGTGCAAGCCACAAAAAAAAAAAGAGAAAGGAATGGCAAGAGGTAAAACCTCATCGGGAAATATACGGCAGAAGCAGAACACAAGAGATCAACTTTGTAAATCGTCACGTCTCCTTGTAAAGAAAAAAAAAAAAAAATGAACTTTCCACAAGGCAAAAGTGCAGGCGGGTAACAAACAGAGCGGAATTTAGTAGGGGAGAGAAAACATCACTGGCATCAAAAAAAGGTAAAAGTAAAAGAGCAGAAATGTACACACAAAAAAAAAAAAAGATAAAGAAAGAAAAAGACGCACAGCATGGCTTTAGAACTAATTGAAGCTGAGATCACGCGTGTGCCTCTGTAGTGTATTCCCTAGAAACCATGAAGAACGGTTGCTTCTACGCAGTCCTCTGCCTTCTCTCCCTCTCTTCCACATGCCAATATATACATGAACCAAAGATAGTCTACACAATCACAAAAAAAAAAAAAAGGAGAAAAAGCATAACTCGTCTCAATGAAGCAATGTCCTATTGCACATCCTTCCTTCTCCCCGCCCCCTCACATTTCAAGTTATCTTCCGCCGTTTTCCCTTGAAAATTTTTTTCTCCTGCCCATATAATTCCGGGGCAACCACGTTGCGTATCCCGCACATCACCTCAAGTGCCCCACGCATAAATCCATCAAAAACCAGTGAAGCCGCCAGCGGTAAACGCATAGGACTTCCGTGTGGCCCCAAGCAATACGCGGCAACGTTAGAGGCCAAGCGAAGTCCTTGAAGAAGCTCCGCAAAGCCACGCTTCAAACCCTCCAAAAGACTCACCGGCTGCGACCCACGCGACACGGGCGACAATTCACTCACTGGCAACACGGAAGTAATCACGGAGGAGGTCGTGTTATGTGCCCGTCGCGAAACCGCCACCGCGCTGTTGAGTGATTGAGAGACAAGTGTAAAGAGAAATTTGCGAAGAGCGGCGGAAAGGGCAGAGAAAAAACGTCTGTTGCGACGATATTCATTGAGAGGAGCAAAAAGAATCTCCACGCCTGCCGTCCCAACGTTTGACGCCAACTGCAGCGGCTGCACCCCGCAAAGAAGCATGAAAAGACCATGAAAATTGAGTATCTGTTCCCGCATAAGGTCTAAAATGCGGTCCCCGACACGGTGGAGAGGGCATGCCGTGACAAGGATAAGCGGCACCTTGATCTGCGCCCGCTCAATAGAAGGCAAAAGAAAGTTGCAGAGTTCAAACATATCCATACGAGTGGCTCGAGAGGTGTCGTGGCCCTCAAAATAGACGTAGAGTATCAGTTGCACTGGAAATACGACAATCTTACTGAAGAAAAGCGTCTGAGACTGCACGTCATCCGAAGCAATACTTTCGTTGGAAAGAGTCTCCGGGTCTTCGATAAATTTGGACAACAAATTCATGGCACGTCGGTGCACGGCAACAGTGACTGGCTGCAACCGCACAATAAGCTGCTCCTCCGGTTTCCCTACAACAACCATCCCGGCATTCATTGAAGAAGACCGCGGTACAACTGTCGTCCACTTCATCTCAAACAAATCGCCATCATGGTCACGTAGAGATGGCGGAAGGGATGCCATAAATAGCGTGCGCACAGAACTCTTCTCGATGCAATCCACCACTTCTCCATCCCGCACGGACAAATACACCTGCAATAAGTTCGCCTTTCCGGGAACAAACAAATCCACTTGAAGTCGGATACCAGTGAAGCGGCCAACAACGTACTCGTCCTGTCTTCGCCCAACGCCAAGGAATCCGCTTCGTCGTCCCTCGCGTCTTCCCTGGTGAAGCTCCACGTCTGAGTCCATCCCACTCCACAGCACGGAGGGCTCCTGCACCTCCTCCTCCATGTTACCAAAGCGCTGTATGGTGTGGAGGTAGCTTTGAGGCACATCAAAGTGAATGAAATCCTCTCCACCATACAAATGTGCAATAACGTCACAGTCATAGAGGTGAATCTCCATCGACACCAAGTTGTTCGGCGGCAATGGGCGCGGGACACACCTCCGGTTCTGTGCATATTCCGATGATGCGCTACACCAGGCCCCGTATATGGATAAGAAATTCGTATATTTGGATCGCCCTATCAAATTTATAGAATCATTTTCAAAAGTCTCCCAGACAGGCGCAATTGAGGCTTCAAGCTCAGCAGTTTCAATAATATCAAA